AGTAAGTTTACATTTGTAAGTACATGAAACAGTTTACTCTTGTACTGTAATTATTACTTACTGCATTATTTTCCATATGAACAGCTGTAAACCTGCTTTTGTCCCACCCTGAACTCTATATGACAGTACAGTTCAGGCGAGGAGAGGAGAAATTCAGAAGTGTTGTGCAAGATAAAACATTAAGTTTGGAAAGACAGAAGTAAAGCTATTATTATTCACAGATGACATGATTGTTTATATGGAAAGTTAAAAAGAATCTGAAGGTAAACTCTTAGAGTTAATAAGTGAATTTGGCAAGGTCTTGATAGAAGATCCATGAGAAATTAATAGTATTTCTGTATACTACCTGTAGACAAGAAGGAAATAAAATTAAAGAGATAACACTTATATCAGCATTCAGATACCACATACGTAGGGTTAAATGAAAAATGAACTCTGCAGTGAAAACTCTAAAAAATTACTGAAATAAAACAAAGGAGATATAGGTAAATGGATATATAATTTTCACAGAGGTTATTGTAAAGAAATCTATTTCTTCTAAATCTACAGATTTAATGTGATCCCAGTAAAAATTTCATGATGCTTTTTTGGGGAATAAAAAGTGACCAGCTGATTATAAAATATAAGTGGGAATCCAAATGGCAAACAGTAGTTGAAGACATTATTGAAAAAGATAAAAGGGGATTTATACTTCCAAATATCAAGAGTTAACCTACAATAATTGAAAGTGTGATATTGGTATAAGAGTAGACAGACGTATGGACCAGAATTTAGTGACATCTTTCAACAAATGTTGCTGGATTAATGGAAAATCATATTTTCTGTTTACAAAAGTCAGTTCCAGACATAAATATAAAGGATAAAATGATAAAGTTCTCAATTTCATGAAAACAAATAAAATGAATTTTAAAAAACAAGGAAGAAATAAAGATTAAGAACTGAGAATGCAGTAGAAAACAAACCTTTGTGTAATCCTTTAGCGAAGTTTGCTGCAGAAGGACGGAAAAGGATACATTGCATGATCACATTTATACTTAGTTAAAAAATAGGAAACTCATTCAGTCCTGTTAGAAGTTTGCATAGTGGTTACCTGTGGCAGAAGAATTGGGTGGGTAATGCCTGGTTGGTGAATGATGATTAGGATAGTGGATTAGTGGCCTTCTGGAGATGGTTTAAGTCAGCAGTTCTGTGGTTTGTGGTCACCTGGGTAACCAAGACGCTTTTAGGGAGTCTTTGAGGTCAAAATTATTTTTATGATAATATTTCAATATTATTTCCTTTTTCCTTTATTTTTGTATTTTCACTGATACAGCAAAAGTGATTAATATGTCAAGGCTATTACAAATCAAGGCAGTGCCTTCTAACTACTGGGTATTTGCCATACACTTCAAATTTTTAAAAAATACTAATTTTATTTAATATCTCTGAAGCAGGGAAAATTGGTTTATTTAGTCATGACCTTTAAGCATACATCTTTTTAATATTCTGTGTGATGAAGTGGGGAAGGAAGTATAAAGCACTTACACTGCGTATTGAAGAACAAAGGCTGGTTCAAGGAATGGCATGTGTGTGATTATTTGAGTTGGATGTTGAACTGGCTTTGTTCATGGATCATTGTTTTTACTTGAAAGAACAACTGAAACTGATTGTTTAGATTTGGGTATTTGGCAGAAGTTTTCTTGAAAACATACAAAGTGAGTCTGTCACTTCAGGGAAAACAATTAACAACATCTCTGGCCAGTGATAAAATACGAGCTTTTTAGCAAAAAATAGAAGTTAGGAAAACTTATATTCACCACAGCAAGTCTGATAGCTTCCCAGTCTTTACAGACTTTTCTAATGAGATTATTGGTAGTGTTTACAAACATGTGACATTTTGATGTTGTGTAATGAAACATGTCAATATTTGGCAGATCTGCATAACTTAGTGAATCATTATTTTCCAAATAACTAATGCATTATGTTGCAAAATCATGTGTGGATAAATTATTCACTCAAAGTACAAATTAGAACAGTGGATTTTCATGCAACAGAGTATTAAATATTTATTGACATCATTTCACATTCCACATTGTTACTTGTCATGTTTGGTATAGTATCAAAAAAGACTCTCTGCAATTATCTGAAAAGTTTATTAAAATATATATGGCGATGCTAGGTTTTCTCTCTGTACTTCCACCTGAACAACATATTGCAACAGATGGAACACAGAAACAGATGGGAGAATCTAGCTGTTGGCTATTAAGTTAAGCCAGGCATTTAGATTTATAAAAATGTCATGTAACAGTGGCACTCTTAATTTTACTTATTTATTGGGAGAAAATACTTCTTATGTCAAGATATATTTGGGTTTGTAATTGTTATTGTAAAATTTAGTAATACATTTAAAATTTTTGAGTTTTAATTTGTAATCTGCCAGTTTTTGACAGCTATATCAACATAAACAAAAGCTCCTTGACTTCTCAATTTTTAGGGCTGGAAGAGGGTTCTACGATCAGAGTTTGAGGACTGCTGTTCTATGTTTTGATCTAGATGGTTACATGAGTATGCCCATTTTTTACTTAATAAACTAGTAATTTGTGTGCTTCACTCTATTACATTTTAATGAAAATGTTTATCCTCCTTCCAAACAAGATAAGCTTTGAGGATCTACCCAGTGATGATGGAAAGTGTTTCAGATGTGAGTGATAGGTACTTGAGCAGGGACAGGAGAGAATGAGCAGCCAAGAAAATGACTGTAGGACACTTGTGATTTGTCGGTATTGTATTGTATTTTATAGTGTTTTGATTTTTCCTACAAGCCCATAGGTTGAAATCCTTTTTTTTTTTTAGCGAAATTTAAACTGGACGTATGTACCAGAAAAAAAAAAATCGTTGCCAGTTTGCTTTATTCCTTCTTATTTTTTTTATTGTAGGATTCTCCCCTTCTCCAGCCACCCAGTGGGTATCTGAAACAACTGATAGTACCAAACCCTGTGTGTGCTGTGTTTCTTTCTACATGTACATACTATGATCAAGTTTAACTTATAATCAGGCACAGTGAGACATTAACAACATTGCTAATAAAATAGAACAATTATAACAACTGACTGGAATAAAGTTAATATGAATGTGGTTTCTCAAAACACCTTATCTACTGTATACACAGTGTGGATGTGTTGGATAAAGGGATGATTCGCCTCACAGGTGGGACAGCATGAGATTTCATGCTGCTCAGCACAGCACGCAGTTTAAAACTTAAGAATTTCCCACTTAAAATTTTTGGAATTCCCCATTTAAAATTTTTGGACTGTGGTTGACTACAAGTAATTGAAACTGGGTGGGGAGAAGACCCACCGTACTCTTTTCCCTTATTGGTTCTTAGACATGTAATTGTTCCTCACTGATGTGAATTTGAATATGGGGATTTGAATTTGGCTCTGCCTTAAGTGTAGAAGCATGTATGCTTAGTTTTCAACATAACTCACTCAGTCTCTTTTGGTGAGTGTCTGCCAGCAGTGAGCGTGACCACATTTTAGCGCAGACAGAAGGGTGGTGATACCTCAATTGGTTGTTAAGTTCAGCATGTATTCATATTAACTTTGTACTGAGAAGAGCACTGTGCTGTTTATGATTACTTACTGGTGACTCAAGGAGCTAGTAGTGAAAAAATTTAATAAAAAATTAGTTAGACATAAAGCCAGTGTAATTCATTGTTCCCACAGAAGTAAGGACATAGAAAGGAAACTTGATAGTAGCATGTGAGTAGAACCTTGAAGGATAGTTAGGCTAGTTTTAAAAACATCTTTTTGGTCCCTGGCTGGACTGAGCGTGGCTCAGTTGGTTGGGCCTTGTCCCACAAAGCAAAAGGTCACTGGTTCACTTTAGTTCCTGGTCAGAGAATGTGCCTGGGTTTGTAGGCCTGTTGCCAGTTAGGGCATGTGCAAGAAGCAGCGGATTGATGTTTCTCTCACACATCTGTGTTTCTCTCCCTCTCTTCGCCCTCTCTCTAAAAAATATCTTTTTTGAACCCTGGCTGGTGTAGCTCAGTGGATTGAGCACAGGCCTGTGAACCAGAGAATCATGGTTTGATTCCCAGTCAGGGCACATGCCTGGGTTGCAGGCCAGTTCCCAGCAGGGGACGCACGAGATGCAACCATACATTGATATTTCTCTCCCTCCTTCCTTCCCTTCCCCTCTAAAGATAAATTTAAAAAATTTTTAAAAACTCATTAAAAAATCTTTTTTGTTTGTTTCTAATTAAAAATTATGCTTATTATAAACAACCTCGAGCACTGTAGAAATACATGTTATCAGTGATAAAAGTCTTCAGGAATACCGAGCCCCTGATAATTAACCATTGTTAACAGTGTGCTATGTATAGCCCTTTATGTCTAATGCACGCATGGGGTGGGACAAAAGTAGGTTTACAGTTGTTAGCATGTGAAACACAGAGTTTATTGTTGTATTGTTATTTATTAATTACTGTATTATTTTTCATATGAACAACTGTAAATCTACTTTTGCCTACTGTTAGCATAATGTTATTTTTAAAAATTAGATCACATATCTGATTTTGCAAATATGTTGGATAGTTGAGTTTCTCATTTTCAGTTATAAACATTGATGCCCATGGTTTTTTTAATTCTATTTTTTGTGGGGTTTTTTGATGCCTAAGATTTTAATAGTGAAAAGCAACTTTGCTTAAAGCTTGAATAAAAATATATTTATACATTATAGAAATAGTTAAAATCTACTGTAATCCCCTGTTACCAAATGTTGATGAACTAATTTATACCTGATAGTAGATTGAATTTATGTCTTTCTGGGTAGTATATGTCCCATAGTTTGAGAGTCAGTTATTTCACAGAGTCAGCAGGGAAGGGCATGAGAACGGAAAGACCACCATCATCCTGTCTTCCTGCCATATCCCAGCTACTTGTACTTTTGTAGAGTTGCTTCAAAAGTACTCTTTTTAGTAGGAACTACTTATTCAGATGTTTCTTTTCTTTTCAATCCAGGTAACATTGTACAACACTGATCAGGATGGTAGTGACAGCCCACGCAGTAGCCTTAACAACAGTCTCTCCGACCAGAGTTTGGCATCTGTTAACTTGAACAGTGTTGGAAGTGTGCATAGTTACACACCGGTAAGTCTTGGTGAAGTTAACTTCTTTGTTGAGTACTCATTTAAGCTTACAACTAAACCACACGTGATTGAAGTGCAAGTAGGAGTGAAGATGTGTTACTTCTTACTAACCAATTTACTAGCTTATATAAGTAGAACAGATATCTACCTTGATGGTGTTTTAATTGGGTAGTTATCTTTTACCAAGTTACATACAAATGTATGATTGTACTGTGTTATATATGTTGGTTTACTTTACTCCCATGTGTTAATTGGACTAGGAAAAAAATTTATACCTCAGTCTAGCAAAGCTATATTTGATAATATTTTATAGTCCTTGGTAAGAGCCTAGAGGATAGGATGTACATGTGTATCACCTTCTTTTCCAACTGTAGATTTGAAAAGGGGCTTCTACAAGCCTCAGAGGTCAGGATGGCCTTGTACTTAATTGTTAACCAGTTTTGTATTTTCAATTTCTGTCTGGAAAACAAAGCTATGCTATAAAGGGACCTGTGTGAATATTCTTGCTCCCTTGGGTTATCTGATACTTCTTCTCAAATCATCTGGCAGCTGTCCTCACCATTAGACAGAACAGAGTCCAAGAGCCATACACCACACTGTTATTGATACAAGTTCAATGTTACAGATAATGCACCAGGTGACTAAATATGTAAAAACTTATACAGGACAAAGAAAGATAGAAGCTTGGGGTCGGGGTGGGGGTGGTGGCTGAAATACGAAAGTAACACAAAGGAAACAAAACTCAGAACAGAATTAAAATTTTCATTGAATGTAGGTAAAAAGTAAAGTGATTCTGCAAAACTGTTATCAGTGCTCTGGGGAAAAGGGAATTCAAATATTCTCACAGAGTGCAGAAAGAAGATAAGAAATGACAGTTATGTAAAAGAAGAGAATAGATATGGAGAACTGAGAATTATGGATGCCTCTGAAGAAGAAACTAGAATATTGGTACAGAAGCAATTTTCAGAAGAAATATTAAAAGTGCTACTGAGTTCTCGGAAAAGTTAATGGGTAAAAAAACCCTCATATCTAAACATATCATGACAAGTTATAAAATTTCAGAGGTAATTATTCATATAAATACTCTGGGAGAAGAAATAAGATACATTCAAAAAAACAAATCATACTTCTATAATACTAGATGCCAGAAGATAATGGAATACTCTATGCAGAATTTTAGGGAATTGGTTTGGAATAAGTATTATGCCCAGCCAGCTTCTCATTCAGACGTGAAGCCAGAGAAAGACATTGTAGAGCTTAGAAAGGACTCCTCTTATTTCCCTGTGCCCTTCCTGAAAATAATTCCGTAGTTATCAAGAGGTGACTTAAAGTAAAGCACTCGGTAATGAGAAAGTCGTGATGCAAAAGGACTAGTTGGAGCATTGAAACAAGCTATGCAAAGATTTAATGATTTTAAGTTGCTTTTAAAATAATTTGAGTGTAGAAAATTTTGAAACCAAAAGAAATGAAAGAACACAGAGTCCCTGTTATTGTATCACCAAATATGATAGGAAGAAAAGGTTTAAAAACATTTATAGAACTAGGTTACAGAAGTAAGAACAAACATGCCAGTTATGCCAGTACATGAATGAAGGTAGAATTCCTCTGTTAAAAGCTAGACATTACAGACTGCTGTTTTCATGTAACAACAAGATATCAGCCTGGTCATCACACACCCCTTAAACAACAGTACAGCACCAGCTGCTGGTTGGGCTTATCACATGTCTAGATTGAGCCTATAAGGACAAAATGAGACCAGATGCATTGAGACAGTGTATTACTTATACAGACAGTATATACCACATCAGTATGATGTCATATATCCCACAGGACAACCTCAAATTAGAAGAGCCACATGACAGACTACATATGTGGTGGGTCACTGTAAATGGAGGAATGAATTCCATACTGCAGCTAAGTAGTTGTGTAACTTGTAGGTTACCCTACGGGAATAAAATAGAAAGTCCCCTGCCTCACTGGAAACAGAGGGGCAGATGAGCGACTGTCTCTGAGGAATTTCCTGCAACATGGAGAGGTAGGCAAGAAACTGCCCTATGTCTGCCTCCTGCAAAATAGAATGGTGATGAGAACTTGCCTCTCATAAGACAAGTTATCATCCCTTGTTTCTGGATAATCACAGTGACCCACCAAGACGTAGGTCATCCTGCTGTTGAGGCTTGTCTCCATGGCCTGTGTGGAGACAAGTAAGGTTACCCAGTGACAAGTAAGGTGCCAGTGGTGGAGGCTTTGCCCTACACAAAATGCGTATTTTCCCATATCATTGCAAACTCCCTGTAAGCGTTGTTTCGAATAGTTACATAAATTTATGGTGAGTGTCCATATCTTACCTTTCCCAAACACTAAAACCATGCCTTGATATAATCTTTAAGAGATACAGCTGACCTTTGTAATTTTTTTTCTAGTCATTCTGCCTTAAAGGTAATTCTTATTTTGTTTATTTTGTAGATGTTTCTGTGGGTACTTTTTTCCCCTTGCATAGCTTAAGCCTTTGATCTACCTCTTTTGTTTTCCTCAGAATCTCCTTTGTCTCTTTACCCTTCATTTCTCATTTCCTCTAATTTAATAAAAATTTCCCTAGAAATGATGAGTTAGGTATATTGAAGGTCTTTGATGCTTTAGGTAGTGCCACAAAAACTGAACACAGTACTCAAACAGAATTTGAATTTAAATGAATGAGAAATGCTGATAGTTTTATAATATAGTGGTGTTTGAGATGAAATTGCTTCTATAGAAATCAAGGTGAAGATTTTACAGAAACTTGAAACTTCACCTAGCTCATCACTTATTTGTAAAATATTGTGAAGGTCATTTACCTTCTTCGAACTTTCTCCTTTTTTGTGAAATGTGGAGGTTGGATTAGATTTCTGTGGTTCTATAGGATCTGAGTTAACAATTTTGTGGTCTGTACCTTATGTATATACTCAACTTAAACAGGGGATGGGAAAACCCCCAGACAGGGAAACTTCGAATTTTATAAATGGAAAATATTTTAATATTTTCCGTTATATATTTTATGTAACAAATCAGGTCTGATATAGAGCTACTAAATTAGTAGTATTTTCTTTTGATGTCAGGTGACAAACCATCCGGAACCAGTCTCTCAGTCACTAACTCCTCAACCGCAGCCACAGTACAACCTTCCAGAACGAGACAAACAACTGCTTTTCTCAGAATATAACTTTGAAGATCTCAGTGCCTCATTTCGGAGCCTTTATAAGTCAGTTTTTGAGCAGTCACTTAGTCAACAAGGTGAGATGGCTTTTTTTTTTTACTTTTTATAAAGTAAATTTTTGTAACATGCTCATTTAAAAATTGTTTTCGCTTAGCAGCTGTTATATTTTCTTGGTCTTAGAACATTATCATCATGATTAGAATTGAATGCTTTTTGTGCCTTTACTATGCTTTGTGTGTGTTTATATCATAGTACAAGAAAGGCAGATAAATTGCCTCCCTCATGTGATTATCTGTGGTGTCTTGGAGCACCGCATTGAAGAATTCTAATACTGCATCTGTGCCATGTGGGAAAGTGCATTATTAATTAGTGATGTCTGCCGTGTGAATTGCTTTAGTGATAAATGTTGCACTACAGGAATAGATGGGCCTTGCCTTTCTCTTCTTACTGGTAATTAGCAAAGAGATAACTATTGGAATGTGGTAGCACCAAATTTGTGACTTCGTGTATGGCATTCAGAAGTAATCACATTGGTTAGTGGTATGCTCTGGGTTCTGGTTTTATAGGACATATTTGAGTCAGGTTTTAATGCTCAAAGTGGTTTTGGCCGAGATGCAGTTATTGCACGAACCCAGTGCTAGTTAGCTGCTGTTTCTGTTGCTGTGCCATTAGCTGTTGGCTCTAGTCAGTCACGTGGTAACAAGATGCCATGTTGTCTTCTCCCTAAAGAGCACTAGGCACACGTTGTTGGGGGCTCCACTGTGGAGACGTTTCCCAGTTTCTCTGTTTGACAGATTAACTGTCTATACCTCAACTCAGAGTTTACCTGTTCACAGCAATGCACAAAATATTTTGAACACAAATCCCTGTCTTAAAGAGTTTACATTTTAATAATATTTGTAATTTTTCAAACTTAAAAGGAGAGAGAGAGCATTGATAGGAACTCCGAGTTCTAGTCCTGGTTCTACCATCAAGTCAGCTGAGTTACTGCTGCCTCTCGAACTCAGCATCCTCATTTGCATGACGACGATCGGATCAGGTCATCGGTCTCCTGTGTTCTCTTTGGAGTCCTTGGCTTTCGTGATGGTTTTGTAGAGTAGAAGTGTGCAGATGAGGAGGGAGACCTAGCGGGCTTTCTTCCCTGACTTCAAAAACAGCAACTTCACATTTATCAGTTTTACATATTGGGCTTCTGAAAGATACTTTCTTTTATGTTATTTAAAAATAATTTGAGATTGAAAATGTTGGTATGGAGCATATCTGGGTTCCCTCTTAAAATGCTAGGGTTTTATTGGAAATAGATAATGAAAGGACAGCTTTCTTTCGTCTTCTATACTAACTCTGTAGAGTTCCTATAAACACCAGTTTTCCAGGGCCAAGGCAAGAACTCTTTATTAATTCTTGTGCTTATAAAACCTTAACTTAGTAAGTTGTAAGATTATCTTACAGTGTACTCTAATACAATTTGACTATTAATGACAAGTATGAAAATAATTTTGTTTTAAAAAGTTTGATTCTTTTATTGGCTGACCCTATGCTGCAGGATTTTATTTTTCATTTAGTAATGTTTTTTTGTGTTTGGTTCAGCAAAACATAGTATGAGCCATCCTTTAGGATATGAAAATAACCTAGTTGTAGAATCAGATGTTGCAGTAGTTTTATCAAAATGAGTGTCTGCCTGCAAGCCACACATCTACCATGTTTAACATTAGGCACTTCCAGCCTAATCGTCATCATTATAATAGCTAACATTTACTGGGCTCATCTACACTTGCATCATGGCATTTTACCCTCACAACTCTGAAGTAGATACCATTATCATACCCATTTATAGTTGAGGTAATTGTGGCTTAGAAAGGTTAATAAATTTGTGGAGTTACTAAGTGCAGTGCAAAGACTTTAAACCCCACTTTCTGGTGCTTTAAAGTATGCAGTCTTAACCCCTACACTGCATCTCAGATTCTGATTGGTAAAAGTAATGCAGAAGAATAATGGGGATGGCTGTTTTGTTTTGTTTTGTCTTCATTCATCTTTCAAGACTCAACTCAGATACCACCTTTTATTTTATTTTCTTTAGATTTTATTTATTTACTTTTAGAGACAGGGAAGGAAGAGAGAAAGAGAGGGAAAGAAACATCAGTGTGTGGTTGCCTCTCACTAACCCACCTACCAGGGACCTGGCCTGCAACCCAGGCATGTGCCCTGACTGGGAATCAAACCGGTGGCCTTTCGGTTCGTGGGCCACCGAGCTACACCAGCCAGGGCAGATACCACCTTTTCAGGGAAGGCTTCTCTGTATATTCAGCCCTGTCTCTCTTAACAGACAAGAAGCAAAATTCTAGTATCCTTGCTATATACTTTTGCCTTTGTACTTAATGTTGGACATATGTACAAATGTTGGACATATCTCTGTGTCACTTTTCCACTACCAGGGCTGTCCAACCTTTTGGTGTCTCTGGGCCACACTGGAAGAATAAGAATTGTCTTGGGCCACACTTTTAAGTACATTGCAACATGTAATCACAAAAAATCTCGTAATATTTTAAGTAAATTTACGATTTTGTGTTGGGCCCATTCACAGCCATCCTGGGCTGCAGGTTGGACACCTCTGCCTAGGCCATAAGCAACTCAAGGGCAGGAAATGATGTTTCTTACTCTTCTCAGTGACAGAGCCGGTGTATGGTGGATATTTCATCAGCACTTGTTAAACTGAACCAGAGACACCTTTTGACAACATATACCTTTACTTTCTAAATAATTTTGCAAACATTTGTCATAAAATATAACAAATCTGACCATAAGTGATCTCGTTTTCTGACTGTTTCTAGGTTTGATGAACATCCCTTCGGAATCTTCCCAGCAGCCCCACACTTCGTGTTCCTATCAGCAGTCTCCCAGCAGTACAGTGAGCTCTCACCCACACAGCAACCAAAGCAGCCTGTCCAATAGTCATGGCAGTGGCCTCAACACCACTGGCAGTAATTCGGTTGCCCAAGTCTCGCTGTCCCACCCCCAGATGCACACACAGTCGTCTCCACATCCGCCCCACCGACCACATGGTTTACCACAGCATCCGCAGCGTCCCCAGCATCCAGCACCGCACCCACAGCAACACGGCCAGCTCCAGTCCCCTCATCCCCAGCACCCCTCTCCACACCAACACATGCAGCATCATTCGAACCATCAGCATCAGACGTTAACACATCAGGCACCCCCACCCCCACAACAGGTACCCTGTAATTCTGGTAAGTTTTTGTCTCTTGATTGTGTCTGGCTAACTGTGAATTAGGATATCTGTCCTTTGTTATCTGGGGCTTATCTGTATTTTTTGCTAACCCTCTTTCTATCTCTCTTTTCTGTGTTTCCTTGTTCTGATCCTCTAGTTGTAACTCATTTAATCCATAGATTGGCCTGGAGAGTTTCTTGATTAAAATTTATTATGTCGATATAGGCAAACGCAGCAACCCTTGCAGGTTTTATGGTTTTAACTCTTGTTTTATCCTTTTGGAAAACAAGTGTTTTTGTGAGTTCAATTGACCCTTGGACAGTGCAGGGTTAGGGCCTCCCACTTCATATCACCCCCGTACCCCCCAGCAGTTAAAAATCTGTGTATGACTTTCGACTCCCCAGTTATTTCTTGGTATCTGTGGGGGATTGGTTCTAGAACCCCTACTTGGATACCAGAATCCATGGATGCTTAAGTCCCTTAATAGGAAATGGCGTAGAACAGTGCGTACAGTTGGCCCTCCATATCTGTGGATTCATAGCTGGGGATTGAAAATACTATAAATTGTGCATTTATTGAAAATAATCCGCATGTGAGTGGACCCACACAGTTCAAACCTGTGGTGTTCAAGGGTCAGGTGTATTTGAAAAAGAATGGAACGTGCAGTCTGTTTGCAATCTGTTATGATTCAGTGGTATAGAAGAAAGAGCACAGATCTGAATCCTCATTATAGCTCTTATGACTTTTGGTACATCACTTAACTTCTTTTAGACTTGTTATCTTTTCATCTATAAGAGCGAAAGTAAAAAGACTCTGGTATAGTGTGTACAAGGGTCATATCAAGAATACAGATGTGAAATGCCTTGTCTAGTACCTTGTAAAGTATTCAGTCAGTGTTCCCTCTGTTCCTTTCTTTGCTTAATTCCTGCCAGCTATCTCATTTTAGAATGGTATATTGCAAAGGAAGAAAACATTTTTCATATCCTGATGTTTTGAAAAATCTATTGCTCTTCCGATGGGTCTTGATGGTTTCAGGTGAGATGCTTAACTGACAGTGCTGATAGACCAAGTAGTCTCAGCACTGCCCAGCCCCACGGGGTGCTGCAGGCAGAGACTCAAGGTGAACGGGGCGGGGCCCTTGGGAGTTGTGCAGAGTACGAGTCCTTCTCTTGGCTTTCCTGGCTGTCCACTCCCCCCGACGTCACTGACGAGATTTATATTCTGAAGGGACGATTGCTAAGTGCTAGACAGTGCTAGTTCTTACTCGCCAATTTAAAAATGACCTTTGTTTTAGCAGTTTAACTGTTGTTAGGGAAATGAGCTTTAGGTAGTGTGTGCTGTCTCTAATATTCTGATTTGCTTTAAATCTTAAATTTTTCTGAAACTGTTTCCTCATTTACAACATGGAAAATATCATAAATGTTTTTGGGAGGTATTAATTGAGATAAAGTATAAAAATTAGTAGCAGGGTACTTGGAATTTAGTGAGCTTCTTTTAACAGTTTATTTTGTTTTCCATTACTAATTCTAAGTAGAATAAAATCTAGATTAAAATTGAGAATTGGATCTAGTTCTTGCCTTGATGGCCTAAATGTCCTAGAACATCTTGAAGTTATTTTCAGATATGTGCCTAGAGGAAAAGGTATATAATACAGCTCTGCTTTGTAATTTCTGTTTCACTCATTATTGCCTACCTTTTAATGTCTATACATTTTTCAGAAATTTAAGCTTGTTTTTCATATGCTTTTGAGGATTTACTAAAAAGTATAGAGAACTGGGCATTGGTAGAAGGTTGCGATGCTCTCCTTTGGTCATACCTTTCTTTGTTAGTCTAAGGTTTGCCGGGGGAGAAAAAAGTCCAAATGTTGTTGAAAACCATCCGTGATGCGCCTTAATGGCCTGTTATCCCAGTGGTAGCTTGTCAGATGAAAACCTTGGGAGCTGGGAAAAATTGTGACTGTGATAATAGTATTTGAATAATAAATTTCTCACTTATAAGGTGGGTCTAATTAGCAGGTTGTCTCTAACAGGGAGGGAATGGAGGGGACTCACTGTTGCTGGATGCCCATTATGTGCAAGGCGATTTAGGTAGATTATCTCATATTATTCTCTTAAATCAAGTATAGGTTAACCATATTTGATAGGAAAAGTATAAGTGAAAGAACTCAGGCAATTTGCTGAAGAACATACTGCTAATAACTAGTAGAACTGGAATTTATACCCCAGCCTATCAGAGGTTAGAGTCTAACACCAGTTGTTTAAAAGGACTAAAAATCAGCAAACATTTACTGAGTAGGAAGGGGTTTCTCAGCCACTCTGTCTGCAGAGATTGCTTTATTTTGTGTTGCCAAGTCAGCATTCATTAGGATCTACAAGTCTGATAGACTTGATGTTTGTGGCTCATTGAGGCATTAATTTAATCCTCCCCTCCCCCAGCAAATTTCTTCCTACATTGTGAGTTGCCTAAGGGTAGGGTCATGTTGTGTCTGGCTCACTGTTTACTTTTTTAAAAACCCATAATTGGCAGAATTTTGTAAGTCACCTAGCCAGTAGTTGATACACAGTTATCTGTTATGTAGTGAAAAGTTCTTTTTATTAGTTCTTTCTTTCATCTATCCAGGGGTGATCCTGAAAACAGAGGAATTTGTGCAGCAGTCACTGAATGGAAGATACTCTTTATCTATTGAGCATGGTCTCTTGGAGTGCAGTCCTTGCCCCATCCATGCCTCTGAGTGGTGACCGCTTTGCTGACACAGACTGTGGGGTCTTAATTTTTCTAATGATGTCACACCAGAGGATACTGTTCCTGACTAGAAATGCCCTGGTTTGGATTCGTCAGCATTTCCTATAGAATTTGGAACCCTCTCCCTTGCTACCTTGACAGGAGAACTATGTTAGGGCATTTCTCACTTTTCAGTTTGCTTTGTAAGAAACCCCTCTTGCTATACATCTAATTTACCTCCTTTAAGTCAGTGCTTTAAGTTAAACTGTGTATTGCTTTTAAATGTGTATCTGCCTCTAAATTACAAAGAGTGTATCTCTTAGGGTGGCAACAAAACAGGAAAATGAACTTTATATGGAGGGAAATACTGATTTGTATGACTTGTCCTGCCTGATCATCTATTTGTGCTGTACAAATATAAAGAGCAGTTATCAACTTTGACAATTTTCAAGTGCCGGACTACAGCTTAGAAGCCCTGGGCTCAAGTCTTAGATTCATTACAGTGACCTTGTTAAGTTATACCGCCTCTCTGGATTCCAACTTTTGTTTGTTTGTTTGTTTTCCACTTGCAAAATGGAAAGAAATAATAGCCTTTTTACCTGTCTCAGATTGCCCCAACACATGATGTAATAGGTATGAATCTGTAAAACTGAATATGGACCTGCCAATGTTGGGAATAAAGTCAGCGTTGTTTTCCTATACCATATACTTCAAACTTTTACTATCCAAGATTTACAGTGTTGTTAATATTATTTTTATAGGTGTTTCAAATGATTGGTATGCAACACTTGATATGCTAAAAGAAAGCTGTCGAATTGCTACCAGTGTTAATTGGTCAGATGTAGACCTTTCACAGTTCCAAGGTGAGTGTTGGTTCTTTTTTGACATGTAACCAAATATACATCTTGTTTTCTCTGATAGATTATAAGTTTCTTTGTAATAGAAATAAATATCTTCTTATATAATGTTTTATTTGCTGTCACTAATACGCTTAAAGACAGCATTTTGCAAAGTTCATTATTAAATCTTTTGGCCAGTTAGAGCAAAGGATCACAGACAAGAGTTTTAAAAACAATTTGGCCCCACTTAAAAGGATCATATTTTGAATAATTTTATAATGTCATTCTTCATTGCATGGACAAATCACTGCCAGTGGAAATTTTGAGGGCTGAAAAAATTGTCTTGCTGTTTTCCTTGCAAATTTACAGAATTGTGCCAACTGTATTTTTAATGTTTTTCTCATAGGTTTGATGGAGAGTATGAGACAGGCAGATCTCAAGAACTGGTCATTAGATCAGGTTCAGTTTGCTGATCTCTGTTCTTCTCTTAATCAGTTCTTTACACAAACTGGCCTTATCCACTCACAGAGTAACGTTCAGCAAAATGTCTGTCATGGTGCCATGCATCCAACCAAACCTTCCCAGCACATTGGAACAGGTATGGGCTTAGTTATCTTCTTGATATTGTCTTGTTATCATTCGTATCAAATTCAGTGACTGAGGGAACTTGGTACATTGCTAATAGTGACAGCAATCCATTTACATCTTTTAATTTCTAAGAAGAGAATGAAATCAAACTGTATTTAAGGTATATCTGAGAAAAATTGAGATAAATTATTTGTCATGATTTATATGATTATTGTTTACAGTTGACTTTCCTTTGTGACCTTTTCAGTTGTCAAACTAGAATTAAATGTGTTTAAGATACATGCATTTTTATAAGAACATAGTTATGAAGTTAGTTCAATCTAAATTTGTATATACTTGCAATGAAAATACTATTTTTATATACTTTTTAAGAATGTTAATATTAAAGTTGAAATTTTACTTGAAGAGTGGACATAATGGTAGGTAGTCTCATTGATGTTTTTTTCTGGACTCAAAATTTGTGCTCTGTATTTTTCATCTCATTTTCCTTACCCTTTACCATTGTAGCCATTTCTTTTACTCTGATTATAGTGCCTACAGTTTTCTTTCCTGAAGTTTCCATTCTGCAGGGCCTCAGGGAATCACCAGGGTAGAATAAACAGTGAGAGCTAGGTTGGAGTCATATATAATGCCTGCCTGCGGGCACTGTGGGGGAGGATTGAAAAGCAGCAATAGCCTCTGCCAGCATTTCTGTCTGGGAGGAGGTACTGCCCAGCTCTCACCCCAAAGCCAGACAATCCATCCAGTTCCTGGCTCCAAATGTTCCTGGCTCCTTTCAAGTTTCTGCCCTAGTGCTGGAGCTCAGAGGGAGTGATTCCATGTAAATTGGCATGGGCCCTTTAAGAGGAACTGCCTGGGATTCCAGAAGCTTTCCATCTCCCTCAGTCTTAATCCCTGCTGGTTTTTCACAGCCAGAAGTTATGGGGACTTCTCTTTCTGGCACTGGAACCTTTGGCTGGGGGAGCCTGGTGTAGGGCTGGGACCCTTTGCTCTTCAGGTGGGACCTCTGCAGCTGATTTTTCTCCACCACACCTGGAACAGGCTGGTCCCACATCTGTGCCCCTCCTACTAGTCTTGATGTGGCTTTCTTCTTTAATTCCCTACTTGTAAGACTTCCATTCAGCCAGATTTCAGGTGGTTTTGAGTAATGCTTGTTCTATACTTTAGTTGTAATTTTGATGTAGTTGTGGGAGACTATGAGTACCTTGTTTACCTGTGTGATTAGATTTTTAAATTCTCATAACTACATTCTAAATGTTATAGGATCTCAGAAATCTCTGGGAGCTACATCAGAAGTTAATTTCTTGCTTAGAAAGTTTAGATAGACTCTCATTATTCAGACTATAATGAGCACATGAGAAAAATGAGGATTATATCTGAAAGGAAAAGTGTTAGGAATATAACAGTTTGAAAAAGTTAAGGCTATTTGTTTAATGTGGGTATCTATTTTCATAATCCTTGTCCAGTTCCCACTCCCTCTCCTCTTTTAAAGTTAGAATTACTAAGCCAAAAAACGAGAAATGAAAAAAAAAAATAGCCTCAGCTGGTGTTGCTCAGTTGGTTGAGTGCCGCCAGCCTGTGAACCAAAGGGCCGCCGGTTGAATTCCCAGTCAGGCCACATGCCGGGGTTGTGGGCCAGGTTCCCCAGTGGGGGTGTGCAAGAGGCAACCACACACTGATGTTTCTTTCCTTCCCTTCCCCTCTCTCTAAAAATAAATTAATAAAATCTTTTAAGAAAAGAAATAAAGACAGATCTTCAATAAAAATCTTTTTTGTTGTTGTTTTTTCATTGTGATTTGAGCTCCTGAGAGAGCTAAGATTTTCATCAGGACAGAGGCTGAGAAGTCATTGATAAATAAATGAGTGACCATAGTACTCAGAACAGTGCACCAGCCATGCATGTAAAGACTAATCACCTCGACCCAAAAGAATTTACTAGAGTCCTGACCACTGAGGCTCAGTTCTTAGGCATTGTTCTGTGAAGCGCAAGGTCACTGGTTCAATTCCCAGTCAGGGCACATGCCTAGGTGGTGGATTTGGTGCCCTGTGGGGGCATATACGGGGTATAGGAGGCAGACGATCGACGTTTCTCTCTCTCTCATCGTTGTTTCTATCCTTTCCTTTTCCTTCCCTTTCCCTCTCTCTAAAAATAAATTATGTATTAAAAAAAAACCAATGTATTAGACCTGGAACAGTGTAACATTTTTTTTCTTCCTAAATCTTCAGGGTAGTAAATTGGTCAAAGAAAAGCTCAGTTCTGACTCTGAACTTGACTATAAAAAAGCATGTCATCTTAGAAGGCAGTGGCTCCTGAGTCAGATCTTGTGGTCTGTTCCCAGTTCTGCCCCATTTTATCTCTGGTCTCATCTCCTCCTGCACATGAACAGATAGGGCTGGAGGAGGTTATCTCTGAGGGGACCACCTCAGGTGTGAGCCGCTCACCAGTCTCATGCCCAGTGTCAGTCAGAAACTTGTGAGTGGCCAAACTGTGCCCTGCCTTGAATACAGTGGGAAGGTTTTTCTTCTCTTTTTAATTTCCTCTGGGAAAACAGTTCTTTTCTAATTTGACGACAGCATTGGTAGAGTGCATGTATAATTTGTATGAAACACTAGCATATCTTAGGAGAACGGCTTTTTTGGAATTCCAGACGTTCCATATTTTGTGAGCCAGTGTTACGTTTTTCTCCCCACGGAGTTACTGGGGAGGGCACATGACAGTTGTTCCCCTCCCTTTCTGTTTTGCATTAGGATGCAACATAATTGACATTTTGGAACTATTACATTTGATGGCTTCTGTCAAACATATATTAAGAACCTTCTGAAATGTCACTTAAATGAAATCTGTTTCCCATCTTCACATTTCTAAATAATACATATCACATTTGCTTAACGGAGGTCCTTTATCTAGTGCAGCAGTTCTTTCCTATGACTTTGTGCCTCTGGTCACTTTGTTAATAAGCAGCTTGGGCACACATAGGTCTGCTTTGGGGGTGAGAAAATCAGGGAACCGTTAGGAGAGAGAGCTCGTGAGTTAGGAGAACTGGATGCCAACCCCAGCCCTGCCAAACTGATGTGTCTTTGGGCAGTCAGCTTAGCCTTTCTGAGCCTCTTTTGCCTCATCTATAAAATGAGGATAATCCTTGTCTCCCCTTCATGTAGGCTTAGTGGAAGGTTCAGATGAAGTGATGAGAATGCTTTTGAATTGTAATAAGGTGTGTAATAACAGTAGCAGACATAACTGGCACACGAGCTTTGCATTACAGGCAGTGCTGGAATTGTACCTGCTACTTACATCCAGCTTGGCACTGTGTTCAAAATGCCAGCTCCACCCTGGCAGAGTTTTAACATCTGGAAGAAATATTTTTTCTTCCCTTTTCTTCCTCACCTTACTTGCTTCATTTAGTTGTAGGTAACAATTCTATTCTATTAAGATTTTAACGCTTGATTTGTTTTATTTATTTCTGAATTTATTAGGTAATATATTTTTTCTTCTTTCCATTCTTTAATTTGATTAGGAAATTTGTACATAGACTCCAGGCAAAATCTCCCTCCTTCAGTGATGCCACCTCCTGGTTATCCTCACATCCCACCGGCACTCAGCACTCCAGGAACAACAATCACAGGTAATTCGGGGTGTGGTGCGTTGCACTTAGTACTCAGTGTTTAATATTGAAAAGCTTTAGTGAGGGTCCTGACGGCGAGCAAGGCTGCCTCACGAGGGAGTGAACTCAGTTGAGGCTGCTGGGGTACCAGAGTCTGGAGACATACTTGGCTCTGGTGTTGGTGAATGACTTATCACTTGGTGTGTGGATCACATGACCTGAAATCTCTCTTAATCCATGATGCTGTCTGTGGTTCTGATGATTGTCCTGTTTCTCTAAGAGGTTGGGGGTATAGAGCTTGTCCTGGGGTCTTAGGTATCTTTTAGGCTATTGAACTGTGATAGACTTCAGCAGGTTTTAAGAACCCACTTTGATTAACTCCTATACATTCTTCTGATGAAGTCCCTCCAGCTATAGTTTCCAGGGAAGTACCTTATAGAGCCCAGGAGTTTTGGGAGTTAGCTAGTTTAGTTTTTTCCCCAGGTTCCTGATGTGGGATGTCGTATTTCGCAGGGCAGCAGAGGCACGTTGTTAGAGGTGGAAGGGGTCTGAAGGGTCATCTAGGTGAGGAAATGGAGGCTCAGAAGGAGCGACAGCTTGCCCAGAGTCCCCAGTCTGGTAAATGGCCAAACCGAGACTCAAGCCTTGATGTCTAGATTGAGAGTTCAGTGTTTTTCTCATATACCACGCCACCCATTACAAATGGCATTGTGGAAGAATGGATTGAAAACCTCAAAAGGACTGTGTGCCTGGCAGTAGTGAAGGAAGAGTTGGGACCAGGTGATGTGTTCTTTTGTCCTCAGTGCTCACCAGTCACTTGTAGGTAGTAGCAAGACATGGTAGTTAAGACCCTGGAGCCAGATTCCCAGGGTTTGAACCCTGTGCGCTGACCCTTGATAGCTGTCTGTTCTGCTTCAGCTTCCCTGTCCGTAAACGGGGCTGATGGCGCTGCCTAAGGCCTACGGCTGTTAACGAGAATTAAATGAGGGTTGTATGTAAATCACTTATATTAGTGCCTGGCACAAAGTAAGGAATTTATACCTGAAAAATAGGTAAATACAAGGCACTTCTGCTGTCCTGTGATATACTGAAAACCTTAGCATTTTGTAAAGTTGCACATTAAAAGTTACAGGGTTTATGAGAAAAATAACATTAGCAGCAGATATCTTGAAACTTTGTATTCGGAGTACTAACAAAAACTACAATCAGTAAAAATTTCATAATGTTAAAAGGACATGTTTAATTTCTAATGAAAGAATAAATTCTACAATTAAATAAAGATCATTTTTTTGAAAAAAAATTTGGTTTGGAAGGGGGCTTGTCAGAGTGAAGGGGACGGGGCAGAAGGCACCAGAACTGGGCGCACGAACGGCGCGTGGCCGCACCGACGCAGGGCGGGGAACGTGGGGGGGCGGGCGTCGTGTGCTGTGCTTCGTTCCTCCGTGGCTTACTGCAGTCACTCACCTGTGGCCTCTGCTCACCCACTGTTCCTGGTGGCACAGAAATTAACTTGCTGAGGAAAGTCACTGTGGCCCAGCGTGACTTCAGTGGTGCACTAACATCGATCTTCTGCTTACCGTCCTCGTGTGAGCCGACTCCTGCTGCTGAAACTCCCTGAACTGGAACAGATATAAGGAAGATGCTGTGTCAGCAGCAGGCACTCTGCTGCTCTCTTTATGCCTTTCGTTCTGCAGCCTGTGTAACGGAAAGAGGGTTGGTTTGGGAGTCCAGTGGACTGAGTTCAAATCCCGTCTCCTCCCCTTACTAGTTCTGTGACTTTGAGTAACTTGCTCATTCTCTTAAACCCAGCCTCACTTATCTGTAAAACGGAAATGCATGAGACGTGTGCGGAGCACCTGGCGCGTGGGGAGTGCTCAGTAGGCTTTCTTTGGTACCGAGCCGCTGCTGACACTGCCTGCTTCCTTCCAGGCCATCACGGAGCCATGAACCAGCAGCACATGATGCCTTCCCAAGCCTTCCAGATGCGGCGCTCTCTGCCCCCCGACGACATCCAGGACGACTTCGACTGGGATTCAATTGTGTAGAGCTTGTGTCTGCAAGGCCCAGGCCCCAGAGCCACCTTTCTGTGCAGCGAAGGGAAAGGTTTAAGAGAATCCAGTTGAGAAAACAGTTGCTAATCACTTTACTAATGCTATCAAAATTTCTTTTGAAGACAATCAAAACGATTTTAGCTGGATAACTTACTGCTTTTATCCAACCCGGACAAGTACTCCGTGTTTGTCTCCCTGCCAGCTGCCCTCCGTAGCTCCTGACTGTTGTGTGAGTTAAACAGCTTTTGCATATTTGTGTCAGTTTGTTGTTGACCACAAGTGCCAGACTGATTTTTCAGACAGAGCCTATTTTGCTGCAAGCAGTTTATAGATACATATGTGTAAATATATGTACAAAATTTACTGAAAGGCTTCGATTTTTTCTAATTGGATTATTAGATCTTGCAAAGAAAATTACTGTGAGTTTTTATTCCTTGTTCGGCTATTTTCCGCAGGATGGTTTTAACTGATGTGGGCAACTTAAAGGAAATAGATTTTTTCAAAGCCTGGTTCCCCTTATTGAATTTTCTCAGAAATGTGGGTATCAAGTTCTGCCCAGTAAGTCAAAGAACCCAGAGTTTGATGATCTCCAAACAGTCCGAAGGGGCATGTTGTTCCTGAGCAGCACAAAGAACTGACCAAGGGTTTTCTTTTTGTTTGTTTGTTTGTTTGTTTGTTTTTGAAGCTTGGAGGATTATAGATTTTATGTTGTGCCTTGTCGATGTCTAATTTCCTAATCTGCATTGTAACAGCTCTAAAATTTACTTGATTGATTAGAAGCTGGGTACTGCTTGGCTCTTTAAACAAATCAATGTCTCCACTTATTTATTATTCAGAAGTGCAACTTTAATATTTATTGCTACCTTCTATGAATGCTTAGCTCTAATTGGGTTCATTAGGGATAAATGGGATGTCTGAAAGCACAGAATTATTTTTCTTGGTAAGAGTTTACAGACAAGACAATCAGAGAGATTGTTATTCTCTTTGTCATTACTCCTCATACCGTGTGAGTATGTTTCTCTGTCTTAGCATTCCTGCTGCTTGAGACTTACTAGCTAAGTAGAACTTTCCCTGGAGTTTGAATCAGAGTTCCCAGGGGCAGTGGAGTGGCAGGGCATTGTGTGTAAGCGAGTTTCCCCACTGTTCTCTTCTGCTTAGGAAGCACCGGTAGGAGGACAGAGCCACGCGTAGACTCTGTGCGCCTCAGTTCTCAGCGCAGTTCCGGTGCCGGTTCCAGGGCCTACTGTTGCTAATGTGACAGTGGGTTACGTGCTCTGCGTAGACTCTGTGCGCCTCAGTTCTCAGTGCAGTTCCAGTTCCGGTTCCCATTCCAGGGCCTGCTGTTGCTAGTGTGACAGTGGGTTACGTGCTCTGGGATGCAGCCCACCTCTTAGGGGGGTTTTATTAGTTATTGTTTGTTTATTATGTTGTTTCTATTATAGCACAGTTACTTCGCATGGATTGACTGTCTTAGTTTTGTAATAAACTAAAAGAAATGAGTTTTTTTAAATGAATAGATTTTGAATTGGTTCTTACAGAAAAAAAAGCAGAAATTTTTTTTTTTCAGTTCTAATGGGGAAGTGTGTTCCATCAAATCAGGGAGTAACAATTACTCACTTGTTGCCTTTTAGCACCTCAAGTCTCTGTCATCCATGTTTAAATCAATTTAATTAGCCTTAGTGATTCTGTGGTTGAGTGATCTCTACTTGAACTAAACATCCTTGTTTCTATACATGTGTATGTGAGAGTGTTTGAATGTGTGTGTTTGTTTTTTTTGTTTTTAAATGGAGTGTTGCCTTGAATGAATCACTGGGAAGCCAGCCCTCGGTTAACGGCTGGTGAGGTTGGGGAGAAAGGAAGGGCTTTATGTTCCTGTTGTCCAGACCCTGCTTGGCATGAAAAAAAGGAAGCTCAGTTCCAGCCCCTTGGAACAGAGAATATCAGAAGATTCTGGAAAGGCAGCCAGCAGGCCCCTCTTAGATCCGTCAGAGGCAAGACGAAATAGCAGCCTGCAGAGTAAAAGCTTGACACCAAGAGAAGAGGTGATTTTCAGTCTGCTGAAGTCACCGTGTTCTAGACACCAGAGTGACCCTTTTGAAACTTCTAGTTGCTTGGGCAGCAATGTGTGCACTTTAAACAGTTTGGGTATTGGAATGGAGTCTCTTACATTGAATGATTTGAGTAGAAACCACTGACGGGGATTTTTCAAATTGTGTGATGCTAATTTCCTGTTTGGCACTCGTTTACTGATTCGCAGTGATGAATATTTTTATAAGGATTTAAACTTACCAAGAATGGCCCTGGAGGCAGAGCCTCCATCCAGACCCATCCCACCCTGTGATTCAGGTGACCTGGGAGCCCAGGTCAGGCCTTCTCAGCGGGCTCCAGCCAGACAGGGCTACCTGGTGAGGTGCGGAGCATCCCTCTAGTGGCCAGTTCAGTTGGTAGTTGTTAATGCAAAGTTCTGTCACGGGCCTCAATTGGCTGAAGGCTTCTGGGGAAAAGAAGAATAAATGCATATAATGAAACGGGGTACTCTGTCCAGGAGAATAATCCGACTGGCATTTGTGGCAGTTTTTGAAATGTAAATGTATTCATGTGTGTACTTGTAAATACATGTCTCTCAGATGTCCTTTGAAGTGGGAGGGAATCAATCTGGGGATTATTTCAAATGGAATAGAGTATTTTGATATTGTCCATTCAAAGGGTGATGTGTACATATCTATATTGTATATATGTGATGAAATGCATTGGCTTTTTGTGCAAACACAATCTGCTCTCTGTACTGCTGTTGGACAGTCAGTGTTTTAATGTTTCTACAGTTTTGCTATTGCACGATTTCATATTTTGCCTCTATGATGAACAACACCCATTCTTTGTAACTGTTTAGTGCTTTAAAGAAATATTCCAAGTGTCATTAGGATTGTTGGTGCCAGAACTGATATGCATGAATGGCACTTAAAATAAATATATTATGTAAACTCTATTTATAACACCAACTCATCTGTGTCATTTGCTGCAATTAACGGAATAAGATTGAACTAGTCCAGATGCAGCAGCCCCTCGGCCAGTCCTCGGGGCCTCCGAGACTCTGCCATGTATTGCTGCTCCGAACAGTCATTGCTGCCATTTAGTGAGCAGCTCATTAGCTCTGTGGACTGGAAGTAATTTAATGTCTGTGAGCCTCACTTTCTTCATTTTCCTCATTTATGGAGCCTGATGTGAGAGTAGTAATACCTGCCTCCTAGGTTTGTAGTGAGATTAAATTAATGCATGCTTTTAAACATTTAGAACAGCACCTAGGACCTAAAAAAAGTACGGCTATGTGCCAGGTACTGTGCTAAGTAGACAGTGTTACCCTCAACATACAGGACATCGTAGAGGTCTAGAATCTTACCCAGATTCTCTGTTGGCAAGTGGCAGGACTGAGGTTTGAATCCAGGTCTTTTGACTTCATTGTCATGTTCTTCCACATCATTCTCTATTCCAAAGCAAGTCCTCATCCCTAACCTTACCCTTGACCTCAATGTTATCCCAACACTATCTTTCCAGAGAGCCATTTCCAAAAGGTGGAAGTTAGGCTTCTTAACATTTGCAGAGCACACTATTTTCACCTTCCCAGGAGAAATCCAGAGATAAGGAAACCACAGTTGCTGCCTTCAGGGTATGCAGACTTGACCCCTTACAGGCAGCAGTTGCCAACCCAGGGAAGGTACCCAGGGAGGCTACTGTGAAGGTATGCCTGGCAAGGCAGGATTTTGGGGGCAAGGAGTTAGGCCATGCGGGGGCTGGGGCACTGGTTTAGGAAAGTGTCAGGGCTGAGCATGGGCAGTTTGAGTCTTCATAGGGTCCCAGACAGACCAGAGAAGGTGTTTGTTTCTGTTAATACCACTGCGCTGAGCCCCACCCCCACCCCGCCTGGCAGCTTGATTGGTGTGGGGGTGAGGACTGGTGCAGGAGAAGGGATGGGTTGCTAGTGAAGAACCAGACACAGAATCCTTTGAGTGGTGGTGTCCCGATTTGACTGATGTGGAAATAGGCTCAGCAGTGGGGAGACCAACAACATGGTGGAAGTGTACTTGAAACCGCAGTCCGTCTCACTTAAGGAGAGTGCTTCCCACCAACCCACGATCCTGCCTGAGGCCTCATGTTACTCCAACTTAACCCATACAGTGCTGCCAGGAAAGGGGTCCACTGCAATTTTACAGGCGGGGAAATGGGCTCAGTTGGGGTCCGACCTAGAGGTTCACTTCCTTTTACCCTACTGCCCTCCCAAAAGGGGTTTTCCCAAAGCCAGGGCTAGTGCCTAGCTGTCCAATGCATGTCGCTCACAGAGGGCAGCTGTTTTTCTCTTTTTCTCTGATCACAGGTAAATCTTGGTCATCAGCAGTGCCTCGGAAGGACTGTAGTGGGGGGCACAGTTAAATGTCACTGTGGGCTGATTCAGGCACAGATGAAGTACACCTTTGTGCCGATCAAATGAAAAAAGTAAACAAGGTCCCTGAGATGCATGTTTAATTCTCAAGGCTCTAGCACGTTCCAGTGGGCAAAGGGCTTCTATATTTAGGTGCACCCTTACCGGCTGGACAGAGCAGTCCTGGAAGACCATGTGAGCCTCAGCATTTGTGCCAGACTGGCTTGAAAGTTTCAAGCTAGAAGGGGCCTTTGAAGTCATCTAATACTGATAAAGCCCCCCATGTTTTGCGTTGAGGACATTGAGACCCAGAGAGGGAAATGGCTGTACAGCTAATTAGCGGAAAATTGGGGTAAGGGGAGCGCAGTGGAGAGTGTCATTTACATGACAGGCATTTAAAACTCCTACACACATAATCTTCCTTGATCTACACAAGAACCTGCGGCTGGAGTGCACACTGGCACTGCCCCATTTTACAGAAGAGGAAACCGCTTCGGGAAGGTAAGGCACAAAGCAGCTGTGTCCCAAATGCACACACACTGAATTATACACTTGACCAAAAACAGAGAATGGAAATCTTTTTTTTTCTAAGACTTTATTTATTTTTAGAGAAAGAAAGGGAGAGAGCCATCGATTGGCTGCCTCCAGCACACCCCCAACCAGGACCTGGCTTGCAACCCAGACATGTTCCCTAAATGGGAATCGAGCTGGCAACCTTTTGATTCACAGTCCAGCCAGTGCTCAACCCACTGAGCCACATCAGCCATGGTGAGAATGGAAATCTTAAGTGATGTCGAAGTGAGTACCTGCCTGTGATGAAATGTGCCCCTCACTCAGTGTGAGATGGAAGATTCGGACCTGAGACTCTAAGGTATCTGCTTCCATGTACTTCTCTGTGTGAGCATCTCGCCACTGAGTATGAGTCCAGTGTTCAAGATACACGTGGTCTGTGCATCATTGCCCTTGCGTGCAAGCCAGCTGCTTCAAAGACAGACTATAACCAAGAATTAGAAAAACTGGCTGTGTCGGGCTTTGAAACATGGCCTATTTATCCCCAACATGGTGTCTTCCTAAAAGATATTTGAAGAGTGACTTCAAACTTACTCCTGTTATCTCTCCCTCCATGTGACACGTGACTGGTCAACACTGCAAAGCACAAGCTTGGCAAGTGGCTGCGCGGGAGCCAGAATCGAATTCAACCCCAGGTCAGGGCTGTCTCTGACCCCCAACTCTCAAGCAGCACCTCTAAGCTGTGCTGACCCCAGCAGTACAAAACAGGACAGCTAGGTACCGTTTATGACTTCTTACTTAATTTACTTATTCTAAGCACTTTCTGTGGATTATATATTTACTCTTCAAAACAACTTGTGTGGTAGATACTATTATTATCAACCTCATTTTGCAAATAAAGAATCTGAGCCACAAAGAGATGAAGTCACTTGCCCAGAGTCACCCAGCTCGTAAGTGGTGGAAGTGGTGATGGCAGCAGCAGTAAAGCTGGGATTTCAAACCCGGCCTTCCAGCCCCACCGTCTACCTTGTTCACCACACTAGGTTGTCAGTTCCTTGGCCCAATTATCTGAGCTAGGGGCCAAACAAGGGCCTTAGACCAAAGCAATGAGACTGCAGTAAGTACTGGCGGCCAGCAGAGGGCGGAGGGCTGCCGCCTGTGTGCCTTTGTTGGAAGTTTTTCTTCAGCATTGGGGCTATGCTCCTTCTCCGTAGCCCCAAGTTGGGTGTTCCTAAAGACTGGTAGGGACCCCAACGGCCAGCCCTCAGAGTCTTTTTCTGAATCACAGCTTGCTGGAGAGAGCCAAGGCACCCCTCTAGTTCTCAGCAATAAACGTACTGGTGGGACCCCCTTCAGAGCTGCCTCTGAGCCCGCTGCCCCGCCCAGCCCTCCTGACACCCATTGCCCCCCTACTCCAACACGGGGGGGGGGGGGCAGGTCAGCTCACCATCAGCCCAAACTCTGAGTCTCCTGAGGTGCTGCTTTTCTGGGACTAGGTGATCCTGGGACTGGCATTGTTGACCCCTGCCCTCCCCGCCCCTCCTCTGAGCCTCGGTGGGCCTCCGTGTCCCCACACACTCACAGACGCCTGTGGCCACCAAAGCATTGGGACTGTGGCCACTTTGCCAGGCCCTCTGCCAGTACTTGGCCGTCATTCTCTCAGCACTCCTGAATGTCTTGTGGGATTTGTGTTATTATCCTCTCCTTTTCCTGCTGAACATTGTTGCTGCTCAGAGAGGTAAAGTCACTTAACCAAGGTCACCGCCGTGGAGAGGTTGCCCAGAGGACCAGCACTCTGGTCTGCTCTTGCCACTGAGGCAAACTGCTTCCCCCACAACAATCCCCAGCTGCCCTCGACCTCCCTCAGGGCCAGTTACCACACCCCATCCCACCCACCCCACTGCAGCAGGGGCCTGTGGGTGAATTGTGCCTCTCACAATGAGGCCCCCAGGAGGTCAGAGGGGCAACTTCCTCTCCCAGACAATGGCGATAAAGACAACTGAGGACACTTCCTGCCCTTCCCAGGCCTGAGTGACCCTGCTAGGCAGAGACCTTCCTGGGAACCGTCCTCTGGTTCCGTGTGAGTGTGTGAGTGCATACTCTGTGTGACTGGTGTATGTGTCTAAGTCCTATACCCAAGTGAGTGCTGGTCAGGGTCGCTGCAGGTGGTTGTGTGACTGACTGCCCAGGAGGCCTGGTATATGCGTGAGACCCCATGTGATTGAGTCCTTGAATGCGTGTGCTTGTGCGATCATGTGTCCGTGGCAGGGCATGTGATTGTGTAGCCCGTGTGATTGTGGCTGTGTGCTTTGGTCTATCTGTGTGGGCCTTTAAGCTGCAGACAGGAGAGAAAGCATGTGGCCGGCGGGAGGGAGATGGCTCTTCACTGAAGCTCTGGCTCCCTACTTCCTTCCGCGCCTTAGTAGCCATCCCAGCCTCCTGCAAGAGCCCAGGTCCCTGAGACACTTGCTGGGGTAGAGCTGGGTTTCTAGGCCCCGTCAGCTCGGGCCCGGCAAGTGCCATACAAACGAGTTTTCCCTCTCTCCCGTCACTTTCCTGCCTTGCCCGTCACTGCTACTGTAGCCCTTTGAGCTGGATCCCTGACCTGTGTACAACTGCTCCCCCCGGCCCCCACCACCCCGCTTCTCAGCCAGGCTGGCAGCTGCGCCATGGGCGGGTGAGCGTGTGCCCTGCAGGCCCCAAAGGCCAGAGCGACACATGAAGCAATGGGAAGAACACCCACTTTGGAGTCAGAAGAACCTAGAAGTTCACCTTGGCAAGACAGTGCCCTCTCTGGGCCTCAGTTTCCTCATTTGTAAAATAAGATGGAATGCCTACCTTCAGCGTGCTGACGAGCCCGTCCCCGAGAGATGGTCAGCGGTCAGACAGAAAGCGGCCAACGCGGGCCCTGTACCTCTTAGGTCCCAGGGACTGGCCCTCCCTCCTCTGTCCGCCCCCTCCCTCGCTTTTGCCCCACATGCCACCACGTGCCGTCTGTTGCCGTGTGGCCAAGACCAGCTGATTCTCCCACACACCGTCTTTCCCATCACCCCCTCCGGAGT